TCAGAGATCCTCTTGGGGAAAAAAAAAGATACTTTTTAATATATTTCCAAGTGATGCATAAGGCACTAGGTGCTCCCGTAGGACGCTTGTCAGTGTTCATGTCTCCCTTCTCCCCTGCCGTTAACTTCCCCCTCCTTTCCTGTGTTTCGCCATCGGTCTTTCTGTCTTTCTGTCTGTCTGTCTGTAAGTCAGGCATTTTCTTCCCTGAATCATCATTTAGGAGTAGCTTGAAAACACTGTTCATCTCGACTTCCTGAGAATTGGGCTAGTCTCTCACTTCCTTCCAGCCACACTCTTTCCCACACCGAGGCCATCATAGCCCCTCCCCCTCCATAGCAGGAGGGAGTAAGGAGACCAGCGTTTGTTCAGGAGCCTGTGGGAGGCTAGACACTATAGCAGAGCACTTGACTAACGGTGTGGCATCTCCTCTTCTCAAGCAGCCTTTGGAATCGGTTTTATTCTCCTGAATTTACAGACAGGCAAACCCAGGGCTAGAAAAATCCAGTAACTGGTTCATAGTTAACTACGGGGGTGCAGGGTTAACCATCAATCCTGGTCCCACCATCCTGCCTCTGGTGCCTGGTGTCAGTAAGGCATGCACTAGACATAGGAATGTCCCCTAGAGAGACCGCAGGTACACGTGTCACCTCAGGCTTCTCTGGCACATGGCAGCCATCACTCCCAGAGCAGGGCAGCTGATAAACATGGTACTGGCCCCGGGAGTGTATCAGCATTGCCATAAGGCTAAAATCACCAGCACCACGCCGAAAAGTGAATCGGCCTGTGGACACGCGTGGCTGAACAGCGGGCCATACCTGGGTGGAAAGGGCCGGGTTTCCTGTTTGTTCTGTCATGGGAAAGTCCTGCACTTTAGGGCTTTGTTTGGCAAAGCTTCCAGGAGGACTGGAATTTTCAAGCTTAAAGATACAAGGCAGAGTTATTTCACATTTGGAAAGGACTTTAGAGACACAGCCACCTCCCTTGGTCCAGGTATTGGGAAACTAGTGATAGAAGGGAAATGAGCTGGTTACACGCCTAATCAGTAGCTGGGTTGGGACTTGAACCCAGGTCCTCTGTCTCCTACATTCAGATTATCATTCGTCAGGAAGTATCCAGATTTTATATTATTATTATGATGATGATTATTATTATTATTATTTTGTTTTGGAAATACTTTTACCCGTCAAAGTTAATGAGTTACCTAATCATCCCTTTTTACTAATCAAAGACACAGAAACATCAGTCAGATTGTTTCCTGATCATTCTAAACAATATTAAAAGAAAAGCTTGGATGAGTTAAGTCTCACCGGGCCCAACTGACCAGAGAATGATCCATGCATCCCCTAGGACCAGAATAAGCAGGGAGCAGCATCCCGCAGTATAGCAAGCAGCAATTCTGGACAGGAAGGAAGGGAGACCCAAAGGCGTTTGCACAGGTTGATGGCATTGGCCTTATTTAAACCTGGGCTGCCTCGTGTTCGCTGAGACCCAGCTGTTACTCCTAAGTTAGGTGTTCAGTTATCTTACACGCTAAGTTAGAGTACAGTGCTGCCTGAGAACCTGAAGTGTGGACATTCTTAAGCCCTATCTAGCCAGACACCGGCTGAACAGAGTGAGCACAATGCCGTTCTCGGCTGTCAGGACGTCCACGGTGCTGCTGGGCACCCACTACCACATTGCAGGAGCCCGCTTACCCTTGGTTTTACCTTGTGCAGTTTCTGCCACCCACGGCCAACTGAGGTCTGAGAAGATTAAATGGAAGATTCCAGAAACAATTCATAAGTTTATTTGTAGGTTTTAAGTAACTTTTTATTATGGTATGTTGTTATAATTGTTCTAGTTTATAAGTGGTTATCATTAATCTTTTATTATGTCCAGTTTATAATAGATATGTATGTGTAGGAAGAACTAATGTATACAGGATTTGGAATTGTTTGTGGTTTGGGAACTCACTAAGAGTTTTGGAAGGTGTTCCTTACAGATAAGGGTAAGGCACAGTATCATTAACTCCAAAGGCCATTTAGGGCTAATTAGCGGACCCAAGCGGGAATGGCCACAGAGCATCCTGCTGCTGGACCAAAAACTCTTGTGATTGTCAGAGTCCTCAGGGAGCACACTTTCCTCTGGAAGTGCCACCCAGGGACTTCCCAGCTTCCCTCTGCCTCCCTCTTCCCCCGGCCACGCCCTCTCCTCATTGAGATCTTCCATAAGGAATAGGGCGAATAATAGACAAGTCTATATACGATGTTTCAGGAATAGAGCAATAATACCGATCACTTCACCTTTTTTATGAATCAAGCATGGCAGGAGTCTAAATTGCTTTTAATATCTACAAAAGAGGTAGCAAAGAATTAGTTAGGCTGAAGTTTTCTAAATAAAATACCAGCAAAATAATTTAATCCATATAAACAACCTGTCTTTCTAACAGCAGAGGGTTTATCACATCTGAAACCAGCAACCCTGAACAAACCGTGATTTTCATCTCATGGCTTCACTTAGAAAATGATCAAGGAAGGGGTTTGTATTGGAGGTCTATGGCTGAGAAAACCAGTGTCTTGGTATCTGGTTGGGAGGCTCCAAATTGAGATAATTAACTAGAAGAATACTAATCTTGCATAGCATCTAAAGAATCAATGAAAAGTCCATTACTATTTCTGACTGAAGTGTGGGGCAGGGGTCAAGGATTGAGAACTTTGAGAAGAATTTACCTCAGAGCCTTTGACAGAAGTCTGTAGAATGAACAGGTCTTTGGTGACTGGCAGTTTGGGGGTTTGTTCTTTGAGATGAGTCCTGTGTATTCTACTGGGCTCAGATAGAGGCCTCTTAGATTGTCCTTTCAGACCGAAGTGAGGACATAATGGGAGGGATGCTGCTTTTTGTCCCTGGTCACTAGGCAACTGGACAGGCTGGGAGAGAGATTGCCCAGAGTCACCCTGCATGTCTGGCTGCTGTGTTATCCAAGCACGCGTCGCTCAGGCTAGCAACAGCAAGGTCACATGAGGCAGAAGCGTGCAGCGCTGAGAGCCCACCAGGCAGAGTGCCCAGGCTTAACCTTCACGGTGTGAAGTCAGAGAACTAGCTGCTTTGCTCTGCTTGGGAGTTCTGCTGGATCTGCCTCAGATTACCCCAGTGGGAGGTCACAGTCCTAGCTTGTAAAACCTACCCTCCACTCCTCCTCATTACAGAAGGGCTCAGCCTTTGCTGCCCAGGCTCAGGCACTCCCCCATGTAGGGAGGTGCTCCTCCTGAGGGGAAGCGGGTGCTCCTTCTGAGGGGAAATGTTCCCCTTTGGGAAAATGCTTGATGTAGGGACACCATTGGAGGGTGGAGTCTGGAGGGGCACCTGAAGCTTCTCTAATTCAAGGTGGAACCATAAAAGAAAATGATAATTGAGTCTAATTGTCCTCAACCCAGATGAGACAAAAGAGGGCTTTTCACGGCAGGTTTCCCCTAAGCACCAGCCCCTGTTAGGGATGAGGGCTGCATTACTCCCTTTCTGTTACCTCAGCGGAGTCAGAGACCACAATTAGCTACTGAATTCACCCTACGGTGGAGAAAGATGACTGTGATGTAAGCTGGGGCACTGGACTGTTTGCTGGGGTTTGAAGGCTACGCCCTTCTCTCCCACGGTGGGTTGGTCTCCGCTTCCTGGTTCCTGTGCTCCTGGATGTTAGGGCTGACTAATCTTGGACCAAGGCTAATCCGTACCCGTCCTCCAGTAGCTTGAATTAGACATATGTCCTGGCTTGATTGCAGTGTTCCTTAGATCTGGTTCGGGTCTACCTGGTTGGGAGGGAGGCGGGTTTAGAACCCCAAAGTTTGGTCAGAACAACCCCTTTTTTATTTGCTGAGAGTATCCGGCTGTTGAGCAGGTTTTTGTTTGAAGAAAGGATCCCCAAGGCTGAAAATGTTTTGAGAAGCTGCTGCCACAAACCACACATCGGTGCCGTGAATATCTGGGTACCCATATTCTGTTTCCAAAAACCTTCCTGTCAACTTTTTCATCTAATGGAACTTTTAAAATTGTAAACTGAGCAGCATAAGGACTCTCCAAACAGGCTGAGCGTGTCCGTCCTCGCTCCCTGTCCGGCTCTGCTTCTCTGAGGGTAACCGGCCTGGGCAGGTTGATACTCGCCCACGCCTTGCTCTGTGTTTGCTGATAACCCTTTCAAAATTTCACTGCAGACAAGCCACAAAATTCTAACATTCAAAATTGTAGAAGGGAGGATAATTAACTCTTAGGTTCCTGCCACTCACCTCCAACAATTACTCTTCATTTTATTTTACCCCAAATCTTTATTTTACAGTATTTCTTTTCTCCCATTTCCATATAATTTTGCCTTCCAAAAACAATATTATCATATCTGTGCTGACTTGCAGCCTGTTTTTCCCCCGACAGTTTGTCTTAAAAGTTTCCCTTATCAGCGCATCGGCTTCCTTTTAATGCCTAGGAAGTTTCCCCTTAGACTCTAGAACCATCATTTACTTAGGCATTCCCCAATTGTTGGATATGCAGATTGTTCCCAAAACATTCTGTTACTCCATAAAGTATTCAGCAGATACCTTGTACACATGTACCTTTAAATTGATTAGTTAATTAGTTAATTTTTAATTAGTTCATTAATAATTATTTTTTAATTAGGCTTTCTTCCAAAAGTGGGCTCTTGGGATCATGGCCTCTGTATGTTTTAATTTTTATTTAATATTGAGAAAACATATCTTCAAAGAGTGTTACAATACAATTCCCACTAACAGTATATGGACGTTTTTCCTTAGCTGTTCTCCAGACTTGTATATTGCTATTCACTGGACACAGGAGCCCTTTTGTAGCTAGAAGGCAGAAAGCTGGCCCTTTGTTTATCTGTGAATGTGTTTCTTTTTTGCGTTGGCCTTTATAAATGACCATTTGGCATTATCTGGGGGAAGATGGCCATCCGGGATGTTTGGACAGGGTAGAGTGATGTCCCTTGGAAGGCTCAGCCCTGCCCTTTGTCCCAGCAGTTTGCACAGAGGACCGGCGCTGGACGAGTGGTGCACATCTGCAATCTCCCGGAGGGCAGCTGCACTGAGAATGACGTCATCAACCTGGGACTGCCCTTTGGCAAAGTCACTAATTACATCCTCATGAAGTCGACGAATCAGGTAGGCCCCCACGCGTGCACGCTGCGGGACAGATGACATGCCACAGGGTGGCGAAAGGAGACTGTAGACATCTTCTAAACAGAAAGAGGTGAAGCGCAGCTGGCTCCTTCGACAGGGCACAGAGGGTTATGCTGGCTTCGCTGTCCAACAATGCCTGATTGTGCCAATGTAAGCCTCTGTGAACTGCCTGGAAGAGAGGGTGTCACTTTAGTATGGGATGCTCCTTAACGTAGAAAAGCTAATTGGCCTCCAAATAAGACCTGACAGACTTCCGATCTGTGTTGCGCATCTCCGGAGCTAATACTACAGTTCCAGTTTCTAAGCTGGTCACTTCTGATCGCCTGGGTGTGGACCCAGACAAGAACTGCCAGGGAGGAGATACTTTGAATTGTTGTTGGTGTCCACATGTGAGGTCACCTAGCAGAAGGGCACACGGGAGCTGAACTCAGGAGTTGTCTATCAGAACACCAGGGGAAGATGATGGGTGTCCTGTGCTATAACTCTCAGCCATATATATATTTTAAACAGAATCTCTCACTGAACCTGGAGTTAGGCAAGCAACCAGTGAGCTCCTACAATCCTCTTGGTCTCTGCCCATCCACAGCACTGGGGTTACACTTCACTGTCACATGGCTGCTGGGATCCAAACTAGCCCTTTATGGTTATGCAGCAAACAACACTGAGCCGCCTCTCCAGCCCCCTTTACTTTTGCTTCAGTGACTTTTTTTTTTTTTTTGCTTTGTAAAGCTAAAGAATCGGGGGGAGAAGTCTTTACTCAGTGTGGGGATGAACTCTAGAGCTGGAAGCCTCAGCGGACCTTCAGTGGTCTCCATTCCTCAGCCTGGAGATGGGATATTCATTGTGTGTTTGTCTCAGGACTTCTATGTTGAGTAAATGTACAGAGTTGAGTAAATTTAACATTAAGGCAACACGGCTACCTAGATTAATCAGGTATTTTCCCCATTTGAGAATTGACAACTAGAAGTCCTGAACATTTAGATCAATCTAGATACCTTAGAAAAGTGGGTGGCATCATTTGAAATAAAACCCTAAGGAGTTCTGCCTTCTTTGTCACACATACTTCACAAGACTCAATTAGAAAGAAAGCCGTGTACCCAAAATTAACCAGCAGAGAAAGAGGAGGATGAGGTGATGTGGAGGGGGAGGATTGGGGGCTCCCAACAAGAACTCCCTCGTCACAGGCAGAGTAGGCTGGAGGACGGTTATTATGGTAAGAGTTGCCCCTACAGAAGATAGCTGTTGTCCCCTAAGTGTAAACTGATGGATTGAAGTGTCTTTACTCTACTGTAAACCTCTCCAGAGGCACCAGCATCAGCCCCCTCCATTACAAACCAGACATAAAACTCTGACAGCCACCGTTTTGTGCCAACAGCTACTGGGAGAATGGGTGAATCCATTAACATGGTTTGCTAGAAACTGTAGACACGGAGTGAATAGAGAATCCTATTCTTCGTGTTTATCAGAGCAGTTCAATGAAGATGGGGAGACGCCGTGTCAATGTTCAAACAGCTAAATAAAGAGGGGAGACGCCGTGTCAAGTGCTCTGGGCTTCTTCCTTCTAAGCCACAGCAGCCTGGCCATCCTTTGAATCTAGAGACTCGTAGGCCTCCGAGTTTTCAAATGTATTTATTTTTAATGTGACAAATGGGAGCTCACGCAGCCCCCTGGGCTTCTGCTTCTGTCTTCTGACGTTGCCACCACCAAATGGCAGCCCAAGGCCACGTGCACAAGAGCCCACGTGGGAATTGAGAGTTAATGGGCCCTCCCTTTCCAGGAGGCCTTCCATAGGATGATGTAACTCAGGATGCACATACACAATTAAGAATAGTGTTTGGTAACCATGGAAACAAGGATAGGAGCCATCCTGTAATGAGCTCTTTTGGTGAAGTTACTAAAAAGTTCTCTTTGAATTCATGGGATCAAAGAGAGTTCTTTCTTGTGCTAATTTTTTTTCTCTTTATTGAGCTATAAAACAGATCCTCCTAAGTGCATAAAGTGTGCTTGTCTTCATGGTTCAGCTCCACTTATTCTTTTTATATATGTTTAATTATAATTAGCAGATAGGCCCAGATAAAGGACATTTTCAGAACATCGGGTTTTCCGGTCAGCTCCCCAAGTCCACTCTAGAAGGACCTGTGAGTCCAGCTTATTTCCATTGATTACGTCACCTGTCCTTAGCGTTGTCAACTTGGAATCCTACCTGGTCCTGATTTGTGTTCAAGGTCATTAAAGTCAAGTCCACTGTCTGTCTTACTCCCCACTCCAGGCTTTTTTAGAGATGGCTTACACAGAAGCTGCCCAGGCTATGGTCCAGTACTACCAAGAAAAGTCTGCTATGATCAATGGAGAGAAGTTACTCATTCGGATGTCCAAGAGATACAAGGAGCTGCAGTTGAAGGTACAGCATTCTTTCGCTCAGTCAGTCACTCAGCAAGCATCAGCTGAGCCCTCTTGCACGCCAGGTATTTATCTAAGCAGTGTTGGTGTAGGAAACCTTAGGAAACAACAAAAAGATTAGTCACTGATCTTGAGGATACCACTTAGAGACGGACATGACAGTCATATAAAAGAGGAAACTTCATTGAGGTACGTACAGGAGGAAAGGCATGCTTAAGACCAGTCGGGAGCGAGGGGGATTCTGGAGTCTGAAAGGAGAAAGGAAGGAGAGGAGCTGTGTTTGGATGAGGATAAGTCCACCCTTAAATACAACTTCTTGGTGGATTCAGACCTCCGCTAACACTGTCTTCCGCCAGCTCTCCTCCATCTCTTGTTCTCTCTTTCATCCTCCAGAGGCATCTGAAGCCGTGTAAGTCCTTCTAGGAAACCCTTGTCTGACTGGACCACTCTCAGACTCAGATGCATTCAGCCCAAAGTAGGCGTTGGCTTCATTTTAGCTTCTTCTGTAGTCTCCTTTTCTTTCCTTTTTTTTTTCTTGAGGAATAGTATAATCTACATAGAATTAATTAGTTGCAATTTACTATTAATCTTGAGTCAGATCTCATACACGTCATAAAAGCACCAAAAAAATTAAGAAATAAAATATGGACAATACCCAGGAGTCCTTGCGGCTGTCCTCACACTTCTCTCTTCCGGCTCCACTCCCCTGGCTCTGAAGATAATCATTTCGGTGTCGTTTCTTTAGCTCTCCCCCCTGCTCTGGTCTCCCCGAGTAGTGGAGCTTAGTTTTTTCCATTCTTAAACAGTATATGAAGGGAATCCCATTTCTTCCTTTACTGTTTAGCATTTATCTTCCATGCCTATTTCCATCGTTCTATAAAATGTTATTGCGAGGCTCTGTCATTTGCTTATCTCCCTCATGGACAATGGACTCCAGGTTGCTTGGAGACATAAACGTCAGTGCTAATCTACTTGTCAAATCTGTTCCCGTGGTCCAGATGCACATGGATAGGGTTGGAACTGTTAGACGGCCGGGCAGGCTCACCCCAGCTCTGCTGGGTGACAGTGAGCTGTTTGCAAAGCGCTTTGTCACGGTCTGACATTCTCCTTGTAGAACAAGAGACTGCAGTGGTCCACATTCTTGTTCGCCCTAATTAGTCTGACTTTTAAATTTGGGTGTGGGGTGGACACAGTGTTCTGGTTGACCACAGTTTTATTTTTTAGTTTCTTGGTGACATTAGGTTGAATGCTTTTTTCCCATGTTTACTGGTTCTGGCTTTCTTGGTGGCAAGTTTCTTCCTAAGTCATCTGCCTGTGATTGTCTTTCATGTTGTGTCTTCTGGTTTGCTTTGCTGTTCTCTTAACTGGAACAGTTGGTCTGTTTGGGTTTACTATAGTTGTTGCCATATTGGTGTTTAAACCCACTCTCTTATTTGATGCTTTCCACTGTTCCACCTAATTAGGTTATTTTTCTAGTTAATTCCCATCTTTACTTGGGTCCAATTTGTTCACAACTCACAGCCCCTAATTTGCCCTTAATCTTGAGGGTTGACACCAGATCACAAAGGGTAAGGTTGCTTCTAGCAAGGACAAACAGTTTAGCAAGCCAACATATGCAGACATGGAAAATATGTCAGCCTCTCACCCTAGGCCCCTCTCTGCTCTGATCTTATTATTGCCTCTGGAATTCCTTCCCAAGAGTTCTGCTTCAGGCCCAACCTGGATTCTTTCTTTGTAATAAAAGCATGAGACAGGTGAAAAGCCCCACCCTGTTCTGTACCTAGCTGGTTCCTGTTTTCCCCTGAGGGCTGGAATTAAATTTCTACACTGAGTTCCCAGTGTAGCTTGGGCCTCCCAATGAAATGTCATAAGACTCGAATTAGGGCGAGCAACAGTAGTTTCTTAAAGTTCCAAAGCATAGTAACACTCTAGTGAGGGAGACAGTCCGGGGTGGTGCGGAGTTGTCGTTCAAGACATCACGTGGTCTGAGTCTTGCTTCCAGCAAATATTCCCTGAGTGCCCACTGTGGGTGGTAGCTGAGCTGGTGCCATGGCATGGTGGAAGTAAGCATGTGAGGAGCTTAGTCTGATGGGAGGAGAGACATGGAAACAAAGAACCAACAAACACGTGACCTATGCCAGGCTGGAAAACCATGGCACCGTCCTAGGCTCCACCCCTTTCTGCTTCGAGCCAACTTGCTTAACCTCTGTGAACCTCAGTGCTTAGATTAGCGCAGGACTGAACTTGAGTTCTTTGATTTTAAGCAATTTTCTTTTCAGTCTCACAATCACTATTCTCTGAGGTGTGCAGGGCGGATAATCACAGTAATTATAAGAGCACATCATAATGTATGCCTGTAATTGAGTCCTGCTACTCCGAGACAAGTAATGTATTAAGCACCCTTCCATACATTATCTACTTTAATCTTGACGTCAGTCCTGCCAGACAGGTATTATAATCTCACGTTTACAGATGAAGATATTCAGTCTCATAGAAGTTCTACAACTTGCCCAAGATCGTAGTTACTAGATGATCCATGTTAGCTGGGTGTGGTGGCGTTTGTCTTTAACCCCAGCACTGGGGAGGCAGAGGCGGGTAAAACTCTTTAAATTCAAGACCAGGCTGACCTTGTCTTGTGAGTTCCAAGTCAGTCAGGGCTACTCAGTGAGAGTTTGTCTCAATAATACCAACAACAAAACAAATAAAATCTACAAATCAACAAAACAAAACAAAAAGCAAACAAAAGCCCCTGAGACTACTTTGGGTTTGCAGCAGATGTGATATATATCACATTGTGAGGTTTTCCACTATCCACATGAAAACACAAAACAAAATGAAAAAGTAGACACTCGGGTCTTTTTGTGCTCACCGCCCCCAGACAGAATGCTGGACAGACAGTATTCTGACAGAGCTCAGCGTGCATCAGTCACCAGGGCTCCTGCCAGAATCATTCAGATTTTGCAGGTCTGCTGCAGGCTATGATTCTGCATTTCTATGCTGTCCCTCCTGGTCCTCATTTGAGTGGCAAAGGCCTAGTACATACTGTTTTCTGACCTTTGCTATGGGTTTTCAGTTCCTCATACAGTTTGTCATACTGTTCCCCTGGGTCATTGTGACCTTCATTCAGTATATTCCAACTGTGTAGTAATAGACTTTATGGTCCCTACATACACACACACACACACACACACACACACACACACACACACACACTGCATGTAGCAGAAACTTGTGGCAATTAAGCCTGTTGTTGTAGGTGAAAGAAGGAATTTCTTGGCACACGTCCATGAAAGTTCAGGAGTAGCTGGCTTCAGGTCGAGCTGAATTTTGCACCCAAATGAGATCAAGATGTTGTTTTTTGTTCTGCTTTCCACTGTCATGGCTCTGTTTTCTGAGTGCTTCATGGGATGGCTCCCAGCAGCCCCAGGCTCTCTCCTCTAGATGGCGTGGGCAGCCGCCTGTAGCTCTAGCTTCAGAGGCCATGTCTTGTCTCCTTCAACAACAGAGAAGTAGGCTACCCTGATAGCGCTCACAAGACCTCTGAAAGCCATTCTGATTGGACTAACTTAGCACATGTGCCTGTGCCCGAATCAGCCTCTGTGGCCAGGGGGAGGCTGTGGTGTGATTGGCAGGGTCGTGTGGGGTAGGAGAATTAGCTGTGCTGAGAGGGGGTTTCCAGGAAGAAGCGGAATGGAAGGAGACTTACAGGCTGGGAAGTCCAATCATGTCAGAAACAACGGGGGCCACATTAACAGAGCTTGGCTCTGATGAACTGCAGGCTCACATAGAGGATTTCAGCATCTTTACTAGACTTTGGAGGCTGGGCCGACATCTGCAGAGCCGACAGAGGACCGAGCACCGCACCCTGTCCCAGCAGCTTTCGTAGGGTGCCGTTTGTCATGCCCCGAGGCTTTTGGTGGATGCCAAACATGTCTCGTTATTCTGCCTTTCTAGGCATAGAAAGTGAGTTCTCCACATTCAATAAACCGTGACCCCAGGCTCTGCCAGTTGGAGGATGGAACCAGTGATGCTTTGGCAGGGTTAAGACTCCAACTTCTGGTCCCTCTCTGTCAGTAGCAAGCACTTTCCTGGGATTGCCATAGGCTTAGACTCTTGTCGGGTCTTAGAAGCAGCAAGATGTATGGACAGAGAGAGCTGTGCTGGTCTACTGTGTGGCTCTTGATCAGCATCAATGTCACCATAGAACAGAGGAAGAGACATGACATCTGAGATTTGCTTCAGAAGGATTTCCAGGGTGGGAAAAGAAAGCCAGAGTACAGATCTCATGAGATTAGACAGGATTCAGTATACATTCGTTCTATATTTTTGTGTATTCAAATTTCCTGTAATAACAAGGCATCCCCAATGTCATCGTAGACTGACTTTTTCTCTTTCATTTCCACTTTATGGAATGATGACAGTATTATGACACTTGCACCCCAAAGGAGAAGCACCTGAGTGTTTTTTGAGATGACCACACTGGCCGCCCTGCATGGGGGCTTTGCAAAATCTGTCTCCTTTATCTGCTGCCCCACAAAGCTACACTCCTCTTCTTATTCCTGCTTTCCTGGGTCTGAAAGGAACAACCAGGAAGGTATTAAGTTCCAGAAGAGTAGAAAACATTGATGTAGATAGAAGTTTCTGTCCTGCCTGATCCTGTAGCCATTTAGTCCCACAGAAACACACAGAGGCTTATATTAATTATAAACTGGCTGGTCGATTAGCTCAGGCTTATTATTGACTAGCTCTTATAAATTAAATTAATCCATAATTCTTATCTATGTTTAGCCATGTAGCTTGGTACCTTTTCTCAGTAAGGCATTCTCATCTTGCTTCTTCTGCAGTCTGGGTGGTGACTGTGTCTCTGCCTTTTATTTTTCCAGAATTCTCCTAGTCTGGTCACCCCACCTATACTTCCTGCCTGGTTAATGGCCAATCAGCATTTTATTAGCAATATGAGTGAAAGATCTTTACAGTGTACAAGAGCATTATCCCATAGCACATTGATCTCTAAAACTTTTTACAAAAGAAGCCCCTATCCAACCCAGTCTGGGAATTTTAGTGTGTTCTGAAAAGTTTCTCAGTGTGGGGACATATTCTTATCTGCTGCCTGCTTCAGTTGTCCCAGCACAAGCCACAAATTTGAGGCCTGGAATTTGCCTCTTAGATGATGCTTGTCTTGTCACATAGACTTGATTGATCCTAGTGGCTCCCATTATGTTCCTAAGCCCCATCGTGTGTTCTGTGTTGGCTGCTTGAAAACAGTGGGCAACTTCTAGGGTAAGGCAGAAAGACATTCCTGTCTAGGATGAGTATGGGGTAGAAGGAAAGATTCGGAGCAGGAGCGATCCTCCCAGCCCCGGACCAGCCTTGGCGTCTTCCCGACAGCCTTGGGCTCTGCATGGTTTGGTGACATTCTAGCAGATATGGATGTTCATTCTGGGCACCCTGGTTACTTGCATGCGGCATTGCACATACTTATAAAGTATCAGGTTTATATTTTCTGTTGAATACAAATGCCATTTGCCTGAGTTGCTCGGCATCCCTTGGATTAGCTGACCCAACTAGTACAGAATTTCTGGGTCTGAACCTTTGGTTTTTCATGTCTCAGAATTAGATTCACTCTCTTCTTTTTTCCTTCTTTCCTTTGTGTCTACATCTGACAGGTGACCCCGTCCCTGGCTTGAACATTTTGCATCTTTCTTTCCCCTGTGTTCCTAGGCTCTCCGAAACCACAGACAGCCCCTCCTCCATTCTCACCTTTACCAGCTGCTTCTCCCAGGCCTACCCCTGACTGTAACCCTAGCAGATCAACAGCCATGCCTTCCTGAGAATGTAGATATCCAGTCTCTGCCCCCTAGACCTGGATGGCCCAGAATGAGATACATGATGTTCACTAGTGTCTGAATGGCTCTGAAAGTCCTCGTACGTCACATAGAAAAAGGCACAGAATAAAAGAGCAGTTGATTAACCTTTGTAATAAAATTCTTTATCAACATTTGACATGGTTAATGGAGAAGTTGTTTTGTCTTGGTTTGTTTTCTTTTGTGGCAGGGTTTCTCTATATAGCCCTGGCTGTCCTAAAACTTGCTCTGTAGACCAGGCTGGCCTCAAACTCAGAGATTCACCTGCCTCTGCCTCCCAAGTGCTGAGATCAAAGGTGTGCACCTACCCAGTTGTAATTGAGAGTTTTTTATTTTTTAATACCTGCTTTATTAAGGTTTAACTCACATGCCTTTTTTCCTGGACCCTCAGCCTTATTCTGGTCCTCCTCATGCTCACACCCCTCACTTTTGGGATCAATCCTTTTATCTTTCCTGCAAAATGTATCATTTCCCCTTTAGTGGGCTGGGCAATAAACAAGGCAGGCCATAGCTGCTTCCCACTGACAGCAGCAGCAACGCTCTCTAATAATCTCTCTGACTTTGTCTAGAAACCTGGGAAAAATGTGGCTGCTATCATCCAGGACATCCATTCCCAGAGGGAGAGGGACATGTTCCGAGAAGCTGACAGGTGAGGCTCTGGGTCTTAGGGCAGAGGCCTGGGGGTTAGATTATCTTCTAGCTTCTGGTTCTTATGGGATGTCTTGGTTAGGTTAATACTGAGATGAAACACCATCACCAAAAGCCATGGGGTGAGGAAAAGGTTTATTTCACTTACACGTCCCTAAAACAGTTCATCAGCCAGAGTGATTGGGAACCTGTAGCAAGTCTTTCTCTGTCCTGCCAGCCAGTTCCCAAATCATAACACGAAGACTTATTATTAATCATGGAAGCTCAGCCTTTAGCTTAGGCTTGTTTCTAACCGACTCCTATAACATAAATTAACCCATTTCTATTCATTTCTGTGCTGCCACATGACTCATGGCTTTTGCCTCTCCTCCAGATGTCTGGCTTCCTCTGTGTCTGGCTAATGGTTCCGCCTTCTTCTTTTCAGTGTTCTCTCTGCCCCAAATCCTGTCTAGATATTGGCTGTTCAACTTTTTATTGAACCAGTGCAAGTTATACATCTTCACAGTGTATGAAAAGATTATTCCACAACATTTCTCCCTTTTTGTCTAAATAAAAAGGAAAGGTTTTAACTCTAACACAGTAAAACTATATATAATAAGAACAATTATCAGGTATTATCTAAATAGAAAGGAAATGTATTAACTCTAATAAATAAAAGTATTTATAATAAGAACACTTATCAAGCAAGAATATTTCAAGATGTCCAATGCATCTTCATTTGACATAGAGAAAATACTCCATTACCTATCCTATCTTGATGAATTCAAGTTTTATACCTAAACCATTTTATTATACCTTGTATTACCATCCTAAAAATATCTTTTTAGATAAACAACTTATGCCTTTATGTTTTTTTTTAACTTTATAACATTTTCATCTCTTGTGTAAGGTTCTTTTTTGAACTTGGTAACAAGAAAAACTATAAAAATATAACTATCTAGTCTTCAGTCTCTACTAGAGACCCAAGAAGGATAAAATGTTAACTGAGTAAACAGGAAGTTCAGAGAAAGCAACTTCCAAAACTAAGAAACAGCAGAGATATCTGGTTGCCTGGACAATCACCCTAAGGTTCTTTTGTAATATTGGGGCATCTTTCTTCAGCTTACAGGCCTAGGCTATCAGACAGACTATCAGCAGGAATTTTGAAGGACTGACATGCCTTATCTTGGCAAAATTTAATAGTCTTTTTCTGCATGTTCTTCTTGTCCAGTTTATACAGCAAACTGTTAACAGTCAAGGCAAAAACAGTTTCTTGCCCACATGGCTAGTTTTGCCACATTGAAAGTGAACTCCATATGGAGTTTCTCTGATGCCCATCGTCTTCTCTGAAGTAAATTGGTGCTGCCAGGGGCAGATGTGTCTCATTGTCATGAAATGCCCTATATTAACAAAACATTTTAGACTTATTTAAAATATTTTTAGGTCTTTGAAGTGTTTGAAGACTACTTATCTATCTAAAATATATCTTTATATATAGGTATGACCTTGAGAACATACTTAACATGACTACAAGTTTGATTATTATAGGTGACTAACTAATAACCTACATTTCTTTATTATCACAAATAGTTTGTAATAATAACTTTCAAGGACTAGAAATTTATATTACATTGTTAAATGAGCTGCATTACACACAATATTGTAAACAAGAGTAGAAATGTATGTACAGTATGTTCTAACAAAACTAACAGTAAATTTGTACCAATGTACAAAAATCTATACCAATGTAAAATATTCGAGACTAGTGGTTGAAGCTGCAGGGCGATTGGTAAAGAAAAGTCCCCAGATTATCTTGATACAAAATATACAGCTTTAATAAACAGAAGTAAGACTTACAACAGCTTACACCAGAATCCAACCATCCGTCTGGATGCTAAGTTTATAGGCAGGCTTTTGCCTGAGGGCGGCACGCCCCGAAAACAGAATATGATTGGCTGAACTCCCCTATCAAGTGGTTGCTCAAAATTGGACACAACAAGCCACCATTTTAGCTCATTTTTATACTTTATCACCCATTTCTCTTTGGAATGAGATCCCTGGATCTAATCTATGTTCAGGGATTTTTTTTTTTTTTTGACCATGAACAATAACAGTTTCTAACCAACCTCCCTAAATGATGACAAACATCCATAGCCCACTGAATGACCCAAACCACGTAACCCACCTCTTGGAAATGTGGGTGTTGTGTTCTCTAGACTACTTCCTGTTGTCTGGGGGTTCTGAAATCTTTGTGGGACCTGAGAAAATTAAAATAATGGTCATCCTGTCTAGAATAGTCTTGTGAGGCTGGACCTTCTCAGCCAGCAGTCTTGAAGCTGTTCTGTAAGTAGAACTCCAAGGAAACTGCAACAGAGGCACTCTGAGAGGTTGGATCACCTGGGCCACCCATTTTCATTGGCATCTGTTCCCCTGCTCTGAAAACACATAAAGCTATGAAAGGTATGAGAAAAGATACCTTTCAAAGGTAACGTATGTATCTGTATTAACATAGTATGGACTGTGGAACCTATCCAACCAAATATGATTTTTGTTTTATATTGGAGCAGGTAAAATATATGTCACCTGCCTTGTAGTTTCTGTAGGTTTATTCCTTTATATCTGTAGCCAGGACTTTCAGGGGGTTTCCCCTGATCAATTCTGATCCTCTTTAACCTTGAACAAATCCATAGCCTTTCATTTTCTATGAAAACAAAAGCATAACCTCTTCTCCAATGCAACATGTTTTTTGACTTTCATTTTAAAGTTAAGACATTTTAAAGATATTTAGGTTGCTTTAATTCGGCGTTTTTAAAATCCAGTGTCTCTAAGCAGCTATTGTTTACCCATTAACAATAAAAAAATTATAGTCAACAAGACACCAAATAGGATCCAGACTCTGTGTATTTTCCATTTTTATATGGCTATTTTTCATTACCTTATTTCTTTCTTTAAAGACTATTAGACTATTATTTTATTTTTAAACTTTTTTTTTGGTTTTTCGAGACAAGGTTTCTCTGTATAGCTTTGGTGCCTGTTCTGGAACTAGCTCTTACAGACCAGGTTGTCCTCAAACTCACAGAGATCTGTCTGTCTCTGCCTCCCAAGTGCTAAGATTAAAGGTGTGTGCCACTACTGCCTGGCATTTTAAAACATTTTTAATGGCTGTCTATACTCTTTTTCTTTTTTCTTAATCCTATGCACATTGTAACCTGTAATCCAAACACACTGTAACCTGTGTAGAGGTTTTCCATCTGCATCTGCTTTACTGCCTATCTGTAGCCTTAGTTGTCTGCATGAGCATAAACCTTAAGCCTCTGTGCAGCTTGGCTCATGGCCCGCTGATGGCTCAAGCCTGCAGGCAGTGGCTGGGAAAAGCATCTCTATGCACTGTGGCTTCACGAGAGACTGTGGGACTAGGAAACCACATTTGGCTCTTTGTGTGTTTGGAATCTTTAAAAAAAAAAAGCTTTCTCAGGTCTTACATGAAAATACGTACCTCCACAGTGGATGGCATTTGTAGCAAGTCTTTCTCTGGCTTATTCTTTTTTATTATTATTTTATTTCTCTCTTTAAAGACTTAATTATTTTTAAATTATTTTTTAATAGTTTACCAAAAGTAGTGAGCCTTTCTCTATCTCCCAATTTATGACATGGAGACTTATTAATTATGAAAGCTCAGCCATTAGCTTAGGCTTGTTTCTAACTAACTCTTATATTTAAATTAATTTATTTTCTATTAATTTATGTGCTGCCATGTGGCTCATGGCTTTTACCACTCCCCCGCATGTCTGGCTTCCTCTTTCTCTGGCTGGTGACTCTGCCTTCTTCTTCTTCCAAGTGTCCTCTCTACCCTGAAAATCCCACCTAGCTATTAGCCATTCACCTTTTTATTAAACCAATCTGAGTGATGCATCTTAACAGTGTACAAAATGTTTTTCTACAACAGTAACTCAAAAAAGGCAGGAACCTGGAGGCAGGAGGTGATGTAGAGGCCATGGAAGAGGATGCTTACTTGCTTACTCTCCATGGGTTGCTCTGGTTTCTTATAGATCCCAGGACCACTAGTCCAGGGATAGCCCCACCTACAATGAGCTGAGCCCTCTGCCATCAATCACTAATTAAGAAAATGTCTTACTGACCTTCCTACAGCTTGATCTTATGGTGGCGTTTTCTCAAGTAGGACAATCTCCTCTCAGATGATTCTAGCCTGTGACATAAAATTAGCCAGCATGGGAGATATGAGTTGTAATTTGGCCTACCCTTGACTCCGATCCATCCATCTGGCCTTCTAACCCCTTCCTATTCCCCCCATGTTCACACAAAAGGTACCACTCAGGTTAGATGGGCACATGTGAGAGGCTGGACTTCTCTAAATAGTCCTCTTGTTGGAATACAGCAACTGAGAGTTGACATCTGGCTCTATGGGGGCAACTGTACACTTTCCTGATACATCCTGGGTGTGCTTGGTGGTGGCAGAGATTCGACTTAGAAGTAGTTGCTTCCTGATTTTTCAGGAGCTGAATGTAGGTATAGAAGTAAGAATGTAGCTGGGGGGGGGGTGGACATCTGATTCCTTGAACATTGTTTCCAGATACTAAATGCATGTGACTTCCCAACTAATTTCTTTCAACTGGCTTTTGTGACCCTTAAGATGGAAAAACAAAACTAGGCCTGCAGTATCCAGAGTGGCTACAGGGGGTGCTCTAACCTAGCTGTAGAGGACAGATGTCCAGACTTCCCAAGTTGGCTAAGAGACTGCCCTAGCCCATAGAGGTGTAGCTCTATTGAAAGTGAGGGATAGATACATTGTTGCTCTACATTTGAGAACCACATGAAGCTGTTCCGTCTTTTTAGGGTATCAGGTGTGTGATTCAGGTGATCTGCTTAGTAATCAGACTTCAGAGAGCATGCGAGTGTTCAGGATAGGGATTTTTATTTGTTTGATTTTTTTATTTAAAATGATGTTTACTTGGGGTTTTAATGGTGTGTAAAAGGGCAGATCATGGCATCTGTAGTTATGTGGCAGTATAGAGTGTGGAGACTATTGAAACTTGGCTCTGCACCTTAGGCAGATCCACTTCCTGAGGGTGTCAATGTCTTCATCTCAGATTTGAACAGATCTGAGTTCTGAAACCTTTTCTAATCCTTAGATGTCTTCCTGATTTTCTGTTCTGTGGATCTCTGAGCCTGCCTCCTCACTCCTACCATGACCCCACTTCCTTTCCTAGACTCTATACTACTTATAATGAGGTCTAAATGAGAGGAACAAAAGGAGGCTAAGTCACCTATATTCTGATGGGGTCCAAGTGGAGGAGTGTCTTCAAGTCTTAGAAGCAAGCAATATTGGATCTGGGTTAGGCAGTGTCTCTGAGGGTGGACATGGCAACCTCGTCCCTCTACTCGGAGCCCTCACCCTGTATATATATCCCCAGGAAAAGACTCTCCTGGGGCCTGTACCCCTGAACAGAGAAGGAGGACTGAGCCAAGCCAATATAACCATTCTCCCCAGCTCCTAGGAACAGACTGTAAGGGAGGGGGCAGAGAGTGACTTAAGAAGAAATCCATACCCATAAGTCAAGAGGGAGGACAGGCTCGTTCCTGGCCATTCTGAGTAGTGCTGGGTTGTGACTTGTGACCGGGAATGCCCAGGTGGGTAGGTGGTTCCAGGGATATCTCTGAGGGGACCTGTGTGTGTCTACATCTGGGTGATGTGGGGTATGGGTTCTGCAGCTTCTGAACACTGTTTCTTCCCTTCCTCCCAGATACGGTACAGAGCGGCCAAGGTCCCGAAGTCCGGTGAGCCGATCACTCTCCCCGAGATCGCACACACCAAGCTTCACCTCTTGCAGCTCTTCCCACAGTCCGCCAGTCCCCTCTCGGACTGACTGGGGCAATGGCCGAGACTCCTGGGAGCACTCCCCCTATGCAAGGAGGGAAGATGACCGAGAGTCTGTTCCCTGGAGGGAGAACGGGGAAGACAAGAGGGACCGGACAGATGTTTGGACACATGACCGAAAACACTACCCCAGGCAGATGGACAAAGCTGAACTGGATGAGCGACTTGAAGGAGGGAGGGGCCACCGGGAAAAGTACCTAAGGTCAGGGTCCCCCAGCCCGCTCCATTCTTTGTCCAGCTACAAAGGTCGGGACGATGGCTACTATCGAAAGGAACCCAAAGCCAAGTTGGACAAACACCCAAAGCAGCAGCAGGAAGTACCAGGAAGGTCCAGGAGGAAAGAAGAGGCCAGACTACGGGAAACTAGACCCCCTCACCCAGAGGACTCGGGCAAGGGGGATGAACTGGAACCCAAGGTCACTAGGGCCCCTGTGGGTGCCAAGTCCAAGCAGAGTGAGAAAAGCAGAGCCAAGAGACCTGACAGAGACCAAGAAGGAGCTGATGACAGAAGAGAAAGCAGAACGGCAGAGAATGAGGTAATGATGTAAATGTGACCCTGGGGAAGGTATGACGGGCCCAGAGGAAAATCCCAAGCCTCATATTGATGATGAGCATGCATGGAATGAATGAATGTTCTTGACTCTTTGCCACATGCAGGGTGCTGTGCTGAGGACCCTCGATCAACTATATCACTTACTCAAAGCAGCCCTACCAAATTAGTGTCATTATTAGCACAGAGGAGGAAGGTAAAGCACACAGTGTGATGCCCTTTGACCAAGGCGACCAGGTTGGGACAGCCAAAGTAGTAGCTAGTGATCGGGCTCCAAGTCCCACATGGACCTTGTTGCCTTTATTAGCAGTTAAGGAGAGATTTGATGGAAAGGTCCTTTGTAGTTCTGTGTGCCCAGGGTGGAGTGTTCCTGGGTGTTGGCACCCACAGTTACCCAAGGGAGATAAGATCTTTGGTTCATTCTGTGCACCTGCCAAAAGTATCACTGAGCTGGAGCTCCGAGGACAGGTGAGGACAAGTGGCCGCCACCCCCTAAATTATACTTTGAGCTCAAGCATGGTGAGCTTCTCCAGATAAAGGACTTTAATTTCATTTTAATAAAGGCCCATTACAACCAGCTGGCACATATAGCCAACTTGACTTGCATTCCCTTTTAGCTGAGGCCTCCTATTAAATATGGGTGTGATTGTAGAGTTTTAGGGATTTTCATAAGAAGCTGAATCCTTGAAATCCCATGTGCATATTTTCTAGTCACCTGACCTAGGAGTTGGTGACAGTCCAAACAAGGAGTCCAATTCTTAATTCCATGAACACTGAAGAGTCACTTTGGGCTGTTGTCCAGCCTTCATTCCCCCATGTTTGGGAGAGGAGCCAAGTGGTGGTCTAGGCACAAGAAATCCAAGGGGAATAGGACATAGTGCATATATGGCGAGGCCGAGGTCTCACAAACATAAAATAACCTGCACATGATAGAACCCAAGTTGGAATTTACAGTGGATCAGCAGCTCTCTGTAGGCAGTTAACAGCGCAGAACAAAAGCTGCATGTAGATGGTATTTGAGCTGGGCGTTGAAAATGGGCAAAAACCAGTTTGATGTTCTTGGTAGGAGCTGCAGCAGGCAAAAGTGGAAACAAACAACTGTTTTCAAGAGTATCCAATGTGGCTGCATTTCTAGGACATATTTAAAGATTCTATTTCTAGACATAAAATCATGATTCTGCTAGAAACATGCGAAAGATTATTATTAGCTCCTGCATTACATCTTAGCCGCATATGATGCAAAGTCAGCTCAAAGGAGGGGCTAATGAACAGGCAACTTATATAAGCAACCAACATAGGGATTTGCGAGTGAGATGTAACTGGTGTCTTCCTCAGGACCCAGGGAATCAGCTGCATCATCACTGGATAGAACTCATTTGCATCTTGATGAGTAAGAAGCGTTTGCATCAGGACCAGTGATCAGTTTTCAGCACAAATGTAAAATCACGAAAGGCATGACCACCAAAGAATCTGATACCTTAGAAGGATTCAGTAGACAAATGCCTACCATTCTGTTAGGATGCCAGGCCTGGGCACAGATCTCTAATCCAGAGAGGTAGACCGAGGCAGGAGGATCACAAGTTCAAGGGCAGCCTGGGCAACTTAGTGAGACCCTGACTCACATAAAAATGTGAATGGCTAGGATGAAACTCAGTGGTGGAGCATTGCCTAGTTATAGGAGGCCCGGATTCAACCCCCAGTTAAATAAATATTAAGTAGATAAATAAATAAAGGATGGGGGTCTTACCAGTAATCTTTTCTTTGTCCATTTCAAAGTCTGCCATATTTTCTCAACTGGCCAAACAGGAGCCGCACAGGAGGTGAGATCAGAGAGGTGGGTGTGGTAGACTCACTTGTGCCCTGTTGAAGACTCATGCTGGGTTCTGAGAACCTGGTAAGCCAGTTGGTATTTTTAAGAAGAAGGTACACTTTTTAAAACTATACGCCTGGGTTCTGTGTTTGTGAATTCAACCAACCACAGGTTGAAAATATTTTGGGAAAAAGTTTTGTCTCAAATGAACATCTACAAACTTTAAAAAAAAATGTTATGTCTAAAGAAGACAATAGAATAGCTATTCATATAGTGTGTGCTTAGCACTAGGGATAAAAAGTAAACCAGAGGTGATTTCAAGTTTCTGCCGAGGAACTGTGTGGGTTACAGGCAAATATGAGACCATTTTTTTATAAGTCCTTTTATGTAAGGGCCTCAGGCACCTGCAGACCCTGGCATGACTCTGGAACCCCCACCCCAGGTACCACAGGGCAGCTGTATTTGCTCAGAAGTAGTCAAGAAGTTGGGGGTGTCTCAGTATCTCAAGGAAAGGCCAGCAGGATGAGTTGGTGAGCCTTTGCGCATGATTCCCTTGGCACGGAGTCTCCCCTCCCCAGAAGTCTACTCCGCTTGTTCTTAGCATCTTTGCCTTTACTTATGGCTGCTGGATAACATCCCAACACCGCACCCCACTTCTGTCTCCTCCTGCCTTTCTGAGCTCAGAGTGATCTGCGCACCCAGCACTTAGCATCCTCATTTAACACAGTGTCTGCCCTCACCCCACAACCCCCAAACGTAATCTCCACAGTGCAAGAATCTCTTGTGTTCACAGCCTTGTCTCTGTCCTTGGAGCAGAGCTTGGCACCCAGTGGGTGTTGAATAAGTATCTGTGGAGAAGCAGTGAGAGGCACAGGCCTGACTCCTGAGAACCAGGCCACACTGGTCTCTGGTGCTCTTTGCTAAGTAGGTATGGATCATCAGGCTGTGATAGGGTCTCACTGAGCTTGTGCTCATGGCAGACCCTCTGAAATCTCTACAGGGGGAGAAGCCCTGTGTGTTTCTCAGTGGGAATGGGCAACCAAATCCAGATCTGACCTTAGAACCCCAGAAAGAAATCAAGTCACTGAGAAAGGATAAGGGAAAGAGGTTCCGGTCCATCCTTCTAGAAGGGAGGCGGCAAGGACTGCAGATGAGTCCCAGGAAGCCAAGCTGGGCGTGGTGGGATGAGGAAAGCCAAGCAGAAGGTGGGGACTGATGGAGGAGGCCAATCACTGCTCAGCTCCATGCTGAGGGCAGCCCCTCCCCCTCTTTAGAGCCACACCCAGCTCTACAGATCTGCATGGGGTCTCCCAAGCTTTAGAAAGTCCAGGGTGAGGAAGTCGGCTCAGTGGTTATACTGTTTCATTGCAAGCATGTCTCCAGAACTCAGCTAAAGCTGGATGTCGTAGCGTGTATCCTTAATCACAGTGCTCCTATGACGAGATGGGAGGGGAAGACAGGAGAATCTCTGGAAGCATATGAGCCAACTAGTATGGTCCCAAGGCAAGCAACAAAGATGCCTTGTCTAAAATGAGGTGGAAGACGAGGACCAATTCCTGAGCTGTCTTCTAATGTACACATGCATACAATATGTGCAAATGTACAATATATGCCTTACACAAACATGTACATACACATAATCATGTGGGCGCTGTGCACGCGTGTATGCACATACATACACAAGAAAATGGGTAGTCTGAACCACATATGTAAGTCTCACACAGCTAGAAGCTTGCAGTAGACAAAGTAGACAAACCCCCGAAGATGGGAGGAGCAATCTCGAGGAAGAAATTGAAAAACCGCTTGTGCTCGGTTCAGAGACCCAAGCATGCTGAGACTCTCTGAACACTCTGAAGAGGCCCAGTCACTCTTCAGGTGGACAGAAGAACACTGGGTGATGCGAAGCAGGAGAGCTGTAAGATGATGTCAGGAAGTGCAATGGATTCAAGGCTCTCTTGTGCGATTTGGAGGAAGACTGCATATTTGGGGAGTGGAAAGGAAGATCAGACAGAGGGAGCAACTTGTGCAAAGAGTACTGTGTGGCTGGAGGCCAGTGTGGTTGGAACAGTGTACTACATTAATGTACTGGGAAGGGAGATGTGTTTGTCCCTGGGAGCCGTATTGGGCAGGGCCTTGTGTGCAGATTAAAGATCCACAGTCCTCAGTGAAAGGCGAAATAAAGGAAATCTTCTGACAAGAAAGTGCACGGGGGTTTTGATTCTTTTTCCATTTTAAGATCCTTTTGGATTGCCTTGTAGAAAATAGAGGGTAGAGAGAGAAGAGATTGAAGCTGAGCAGATTTCCTGGCTCTGGTGGCAATACCTGCGCACCACCGTTGAGACCTACTGCCTTGGTCTGTGAGGTGGGGAAGTTGGGTATGGATTCTGTTGGTCTCTTACCCAGGAAGTGTCCTTCTCACCTAGAGCTGTCTGTAGGGCAAAGAGAAACCCGGAAAGCCTCCTCCCCCTTCCCCTTCTTAGTGGGTTTTCTAGCAAGAGGCTCTGGTTACATCATTAAGTCTGCCCTTTGCTCTCCAAGCTTGAACAGATGAGATTGTCGACTGCATTGACTAGGAGTATGTCTGTAAGAACTACTTGTCAACAACAGTTTATTTCCATACGGAACGGCCAGGGATGATTTATGCAAGGCGATAAAAATAGCAACAATGTAAGTGGCCAACGTCTGGTGGGAGTGGGCTCTAGTGCCTGGAAGGACAGGGGTAGCTGCTTTGCTTTGTGCACAGAATACTTGAGGAAAGCTCAGAGTGGATTCCCTTGCTTCTGCTGTCCCTGTCCAGTAATAACCAGTTATACCAGTCAGCCCCCAGTTCCTGCTCCAATTGACTCCTTATCAGCTCAAGGGTGTGTGTGTGCTTGCAAGTAATTAAAATCAGAACTTTACCTCACACCAACCTCAGTCAAGAACGTTGATAAAATACAATGTCCCCTGTCCCAGAGGAGCCCAGGGAATAGCCTTAACTTGATTACCAAGGGGAAAGTCATAGGAGAGTAAACTCGAGAAACTTCTAAACTGAGAATTAGCAAACCCCTTCTTTCTTTTGGAAATTTTTATTTATTTGTTTCATGTGTATTGGTCTTTTGCCTGCATATATATCCAGAAGAGGGCATCACATTCCCAGGAACTGGAGTTACAGACAGTTGTGAGCCACCACATGGGTGCTGGGAATCGAACCCAGGTCCTCTGGAAGAGCAGCCAGTTCTCTTAACTGCTGATCCATCTCTCCAGCCCCAAAGCTTAAACTGTAAATTTGCAGGGTCGGTGAAAGGGATCAGTGGTTAAGAACGTGCACTGCTCTTGCAAACAGCCTAGTTTGGTGCCCAGCACTCACGGTGGGTATAGTTTACAAGTGCCTATAATGCTGGCTCCATAACAGCAGATGTCTTTGGCCTCCATGGCTGCTTGTACTCACATGCACACACGCACACACAAATGTGATTTCAAAATTGTAAAATATGATGTGGATTGCAGATCGCTGCCCCTGTGCTGTGTAGCAACCCAACTCTCAAATCAAATCCCTGTTTTCAGTTGCTGTGATTCCTAGTTGTGGGTCACCAGCCTGAGGCTCGAACCAGGGGATAATAGCAGGAAGGAGGGAGTGTGCTTGTTTACAGCTCCAGTTGGGTGACAACTCCCTTCCTGCACATAAGGAGATAAAGTGAATAACGTGTGTGTGTGTGTGTGTGTGTGTGTGTGTGTGTGTGTGTGTGTGTGT